TCGATGACATGTGAAATTCGCCAACACGTATTGGGGCAGCGCGGTGGGCATTTCCTTGCCCTAAAACCCTCTCAGAAATGAGAGGAGGCCTGTGCCCAGCTGTGGGACGTAAATAGGCTGCAACTTTACTTTACTTTACTTAAAACTGAAAGGAAAGTTATTTGGTATTAGAGGGATTGTGGGTATAAATCAATATCACTATCACGACATTTATTGCAATTTTGCGACTTTTAGTCGAATTGAATATTTCAATATCTCTTTTTTCTGGTTTTTCTTTCTGATCATTTTTGTGATGTGTTGTCTAACCTACACCCTTCGTCAGCCTTTCAGTGAGTCTCAATACGATTCACCTGTGAAAAATCTTAACACCGCAATTCAGAAAAGGTTGTAATTTGTACAACGCCATCTATTACTTTCTTTGTGAGAAAACATTCTTTTTAATTTAAGGAATACATATTTTTTACTGTGTTTTAAGTACTATAATAGAACGATACGAAATATATTATAATAGAACGTTTTTTTTTACACACGAATCTTTTTATTACTATTTCTGAGTTTTTGTGGCGCCATTAAACAAATTCGAACCTACATTTCAAAATAATAATCATAACTTTCGATAGAATTAACCAATTTCAATAAAACAAAGATTAAATGAACTTAATTTCAAAAATTTTAACCTGCCTTTTGTATCACATTTTTGCCACACCACCATCTATCGATGAAATTGGTTAACTATTGTACTTTAATTTAGTTTATATAATAAGGTTAATATATTTTGTATATATTTATTACGTTCTTTATGTAATACTTTTGTTTACTGCGTTTTAGATATAATTATATCATTATAGAACATTATTTTATATCATCTAATTATGAATTATAATATGATATCAATTTTAAAATGTACTTGATGACTCATCCAACGCCACTATTGAACAAATTCGTACCTATACTTAGTACCCATACTTCAGAATATTTGTCATAACTTTTGATGGAATTAACCAATTTTAATGAAATAAAGACTAAATGTAACCTGAATATACACTTAATAATTTCCTTAACTATTCTTATGATATAAATTAGTACTTTATACGTGATACGTTAACAAACAAACAGACACACAGACAGACAGACAGACAGACAGAAAAATCTAAAAATGGTAGAAATGTATTTATTTACTTATTTTTAGTACCTATCAATCACTTCTATTACAAAAATATAAAATGTACAGACATCTGCTATTTACATTTTTATTATATGTATAGATATGTTTAAGTTCATGGTAGAGGCATGCTGCAGCTATACTACTGAGTATAGTTATATGTATACAGTTATTCGTGCTACAACTATACTTACTATTACTGGTATACTTAGTTGTAGCACGACGAATGGCTCGAAATGTTCGATTTTTTGCAAAACTTCTCCAAGCTTTTCGAATAAAATCCTAGATCACTCCTCTCGTGTTTTTCATTATTATAATAGGTTCAGCTATTCCAAAGATTAAACCGGACAGACAGACAGACAAAAATTTTAAAAATAGTTATTCACGTCTGTCAAACGTAAAACAATCGCTCAATTAAAGACAGTTATTTCGATATTACAGACAAGCACATCAATTTTTATTTATACGTTTATAGATGAATGGATGTATAAATAAAAAAATTATATGTCTACAGCCAACAATTGGTGCTTATTTTTAGCTGATTTCAAAATGAAACTTTAAATAAAAAATTGACCTTTCATCATTTCTGTAATATAATACAGGGTTATTTTACCGTTTCTATTAAGTGGCTTTCTTGTTTGTTTGTCTATCTGTCGTTCCGGGTGGTATTTAGTAAATTATTTTAAACTAACTTCCCGATGAGCTAGAAACTTGAAACGTTGAATACTTATAGCTCAAATTCGAATGACAATGCAAGAAAATGATCAAAAACGTAGTATTTTTTTTCACACGTTGCTATATATACGCCCAAATTTGCAGAGAAAATTCAGAATAAGTAATTCTGTCCTTTTTATCTTTTAAATTCAGAATGCGTGGTATTTCATTATTTTGACTGATTGTCATTCATAAATATCTAACACCTACAATTTTACTACGCACTCACACATTCGTAAGGGTCGCTCGGTTGGCAATAATTTTGTAAATTGAATCGCACACAGAAGCAAGCGTACGTGTAGTTGTTGCCCATCAATCACATTCAATTTGGGATAATCTATACAATTAAATAAAATTGAAGTGTCTGTTTGTAATGTCAAATTAACAGCTTTTTACTAAATGCATAGGAGAGAAATTTTAAAATTTTTGCCTGTTCGTCTGTCTGTCTGTGTGTTTGTTCTGGCTAATCTTCAAAACGGCTGGACCAATTTTGACGACACTTTCACTGACAGATAGTTAATGTTATAAGGAGTAACTTAGGCTACTTTTATTTTAGAAAAAGGTTTAGGGTTCGGCGCAAAAAAATAAAAACCAAATTACACGTGGGCGAAGTCGCGGTGTACAGCTAGTTTCAAATAAAATTAGGAGTCTCATTTACTCGTATTTTCAAGAACTGCAATAACGGTAAATCATTATTAATATATTTGAACATTACAATTTAAAAATAATAATTAACATAAACATTCGAAAACCAATGTGCTCTTAAATGGGGAGGAGTTGAGTCTTGTGGATACCACTGTTTTTCTCGGTATTACTATTGACGCGAAACTTCAATGGGGCCCCCATATATCTAAATTAGCAAGCAGACTTAGTTCTGCAGCATATGCTGTAAGAAAGATTAGAAGTCTCACAGATGTTGAGACAGCTAGGTTAGTGTATTTTAGTTACTTTCATAGCGTAATGTCTTATGGAATTTTGCTATGGGGTAATGCGACTGATATTGAAGTTATATTTGTTTTGCAAAAGAGAGCCGTACGGGCGATTTATAATCTAAATTGTAAAGAGTCCCTTAGAGAAAAATTTAAAGAAATAAACATATTAACTATGGCATCGCAATGTATTTATGAGAATGTAATGTATGTGCATAAAAACATAAATAGCTTTAATAAGAATAAGGATGTGCATACTTTAAACACTAGGAACAAACATAAGCTTGTAATGCCAGTTACTAAACTCCACAGAATCAGTAATTCACTTATGGGGCTTTTACAACAAAATCCCAGAACATATTCAAAGTTTGTCAATAAACAAGTTTAAAAGTTTTATTAAAGAAAAACTGTACAAAAAGGGTTATTATAATATCAAGGAATACATGAATGAAAATAACCTCTGGGAATAAGGTGATCGCCAACATGCTGGTTCTATGAAAATTCATTTAAAAATTGTATAAACGAAGTTATTGTTAAGTGAAATATGTTTGAAAAAAAAAGTCCCGCTGGGTTTCTTGCTGGTTCTTCCCAGGACTGGGGTGTTTTCCGAACCAGTGATAAATAAAAAATGACTTTCAATAAGTATTATGTAATAATCAATATTGAATAAAAAATTATTCCATTCTATTCTATTCTATGGTAAGAATTCGGTGGTATTAATTGGTGTTCCTCAGGGTTCGATTCTTGGTCCATTCTTGTTCTTAGTCTATAATAAATACTTAACTTGTTTTCAATCACGTAATTATAATATTTTCTAATAATACCTCATTAATTTTCAAACACAACGACAATCAATTAATTATAACAATGTGACTAATGCTCTATCAAAATTAGGAAAGTGTAATTAACGCAAACAATTCGTTTTTAAACCGTGTGAAAATTATATCTGTAAAATTTACAATACATATAACATTTAAATACCAATGTGCTCTTAAATGGGGAGGAGTTGACTCTTGTGGATTCCACTGTTTTTCTTGGAGTTATTGTTTACACGCGAAGAAGTTTCAACGGGGTATATTGCAACTAAATTAGCAAGCAGACGTAGTTCTGCAGCATATGCTATAAAAAGGGTTGAAACCCTTTTTATCAAATTCGTGATACCATCCACAATCTAGATATTAGATTCTGGATACTGAGCAATCCACCTTTTTGCGATTAACCAAAAGTTTTCTTTCTAACTCAAATCCAGTCCTAAGTTAAGTCCACTTTTTACTAGGCTTCCCGCAAGAAATGTCACAAAGCAAGGTCCTGAGCTACCTGCATCCATCGACTTCATTTACTTATTTTCAGGTTATTACTCCATCTAGTAGGGGCCACCCTACATTTTGTTAACCTGTACGAGGCTGCCACTCGAGAACCATTATTTCCCATCGGTCGTTTTCAAGTTATTGTGCGGCCCATTGCCACTTCAGCTTACTGATCCTTTGGGCTACTATGTCGGTTACTCTGGTTCTAAAATGGCATTACCAAGTCTAGCTCGTTAAATATCCGTAGGATAGTGGATATATTTGACAACTAAAATAAATTTATTTCTATACTGTTATGTATGTAAAATACATAATACTACTAATATGATGATTTGTATACAATATTTTATTTCATATTTACGAGTATAAGAGACATCTCTTTCAACTTTATCGCATTACTGCCGTTTCATTATCTCATTACCGGGCAAGTATATTGTCATAGTATCAACAGATGGCGCTTTAAGTAGGTATCTAAAGAAGTATATTTTATTATACATTTTATAAAAATGTGTTTATGGTGACAATCACAATTAGTATTGAATAATTAGCATTTCACAAATAAGATACTTTAAATATTTATTTAACTTCATCCTAAAACAAACCATTATATATATTTGAGTAAATTATATTTGTATTTTTATTGTATTAACACTACACTATAAAATAATAGTAGACATATTACATCTAAAGAGGGTCTTAAATAATATTTTTGACGTAAACGTCCGTAATTTTCTCGGGTGCTCCTAACTTCATGGGTGCTCCGTTAGTCGCAAGCGCCGCTCGGCGTTGCCAGCTGTATATATTATTAAATTCGTATCATCTATGGTCGACAGCGTGCGCCAGAGACCTGCCTGACAACAGCGATACTTTACAATACTTGAATCGAATACTCGTCAATTCGATGTAACATAGTGCGGTCGTGTCGCTACAGGGCTCATTGTAGTTCGCACGAAAGCCCTTAACAGTGCCTGTTCAAATGTAGTCCCCTTGGTGTTATTTAGAACAAAACCACCTTTAGAAATTCGAGAGGATAATCGATGAAAACGTAAGTCATTGTATCAGTTTTATCGAGAATTTTCGCGTTAATCATTGAGCACATATTGCACAATTTTCAAAACTCATAGGGTTTTTCACAATATTGTAGTCATTTATTTTTAATTTATTGATATTAAATGTGAATTTGTTCTTTATTTTTATGGTATTTTGCCGTGTCCTTTGTAACAACTTTCTCTCCGCCGTTCTTTGAAGTTAACATACGACCTTTTCATGCTTGTTGCCTGAGATCTCAGGAAATAATAGTCATTATCACTTGACTATTTAGTTCAATGCCTTTATTTGAATGCCTCTGTTACTCTACAAAATACCAACAAGTAATGAAATAAATAATACACTTTTATGGTAAAAATATAATACATATAATATAAGGGATTGTCTGGACATGGGGCACTTAACCCCAATCAGATTTATACCGCATGAGACCGTACAAGAACGTACAATGTCCCCACATTCTATCCAACAACACGTGGTCTTTATACCTATTTATAATTCGTTGTGAGGCAGACGAATACTAAATTATGTCTCATAAAAATAAAACAATTAAAGTTGAATCTTCTTCTACGAGTATTTAAACGTTGGAATATTTAAAAGGCATTGTTATCACTGATCGGTAGGTAATGGCTCTAACTAATAGGACCTCGAAAATTTCCTAACACATTATGAAGGAAACGTCAAGGTTATAAAATTTTTATAATTACCTAGTTGTCGACCGACAACGATACAAAATCTTTCTGGGGCTTTAAGTAATTAAAAATACTGGTCAAAGAAAAATAGAAATAAAAGTGCGTACCTTTAAGCTGTATAATAGCTGTATATACTAATTAAACAGTAAAAAAAAGTCTTCACCTGTTCCATAGTAAACAATATTAATAGTAGTTCTAAAGTATATTCATGGATCTATTCATTTATGTATTCCATACAATATATTCATGCTACATAAGATATTTTATCTAATCAATAAATATTTATAAATAATTTAAAAACACGGCCTTATTTATGGGCAAAATATGTGGTAAATTTGTGGACATGCTCATTACGAAGTCTATGATACAGATAAACTAGATATCCCTCTCCATAGCTCGCTGGGCGACCTCTTACGGCTAGCAGTAGAAGATCAACTCAGACCTATATGTCATCAATGGCAACAAGCAATGATTGTATTCTTCTGTGTTCAAGTTTTACATACGTAAACACCTCACGTGACAATAAGACGTATGAAATCTCCTGGACGCTACCCAGCCAAGCTCGATCCGTCGATTGACTGTTCGGTCGAAGTCGAACTTACTATATTCGGACAATCTTACTCCTCAAAAACTTCGAGCACAGTGATCCTAACAATTACCACAATACGTGAGACATAAACGTAGACGACGTAGTGAGAGAGAGACGTCACTCTGTCTTACATCTTTTTGCAGTTGCATTGGTTTCGTACTCTGGTTCTATATTCGGATAACCATCGTAGCTTTACTGTTCAAACACTTCGGTACTTTGATATACCGACAATAAACTTGACAGCGCTGAAGAAACTGTAGCACTGCCTAAATTTCAACGAAACCAAAGGCTGTCTTATAATCTAAATACGCACGGCAAAGTGGCAGATTAAACTTTACTTTTCTTTCCTTGTTTTTTTTTTATACAATTTTCCGAAGTATGTGCATGTGGTCTATGCTACAAAAACCTTTTCTGAAACCAGCTTGTTCGAGAAGCTAGAAGTCTTTAAATCTGAGTACTAGACGATTCGTAATGATCGTCAATAACAGTACGTAGAAGCAGCTCAGTAGGGAAATCATCGCCATTCACGAAGAACAAGAACACCGCACATGATATAATTAGCTTCGATTAACTAAGGAAAAAAGTGAGTTAATAAAAACGTGGTATAAACGATGATATACGTGCCTTATCATTTCTTTACGCTTCTTTCGCATAACAGTTGAGCAATAATTATAATATCTAATTTAGAAACAAATTATTTCCAATAATATAGACAAGAAAATATTTTTGCTTAAACATCGTTATTCTTTTTCATGCCCGCTTTATCCCGATACTCATGGTCGGCTTTCCTAATCCTGAGGCCTCATTTTTACTTCGCTGATAAGCATTCTCAATAGACTTTCATGTAACTCTGAACATTTATCATCCAAGTCGTTAACGGTCTGCCTATCTCTCTCTTTTGTGTAGCCATAGCCATAAAACTTTGTCTATTTCATAGACCAAGTTTTACTACCGTAGTGTAGAACTGGTTTTACGGTGGTTTTATAGACCTTACCTTTGGTTCTTATCGGCACTTTCGGAGCGCACTGGACGCCTGTTTGTTCGCGCTGTTTATTCCACACAGACGACGTCGAGAGATCTAAATTTTCCTGTAATTCGTAAAACTTCCTAATATTAGAGCGACGTTATAAACATACAAAATGTTCCACGGTAAGGTTTTCTGAATTTTCTCTGTTAGGTTGTTTATGATGATGTAGAATCACAAGAGACCGAGAGCGCTCTCTTGATGAACTCCCAATTTAAAGCCGCAACTCATGGATAAGCCAGCTAGACTAGCTAAAAACATGTTTGTCGGTTGTAGTACGTGTTCATGATGGGGGTTTATGTAAGGGTTGGGAAAGTTCCGCGACTACAGCCTGACATATTAATGATTTTGGCAGATGAACAAAGGATTTCTCTAGATTTATAAAAAACTGTCTAATTACACATAGACTTTGTCTGCTTTTTTCCCGCGAGTTTTTTCAATTACTAGCCTTATCGCATGGATTCCGTCTGTTGATTCCTTTTTAGCAATAAAGCGAAACTGATTTTCTATTAGCTGTGTCAGGTTTGAATGTACTTGCTTGGGACTGGTTCCAAGTTCTTCAGAGTGTGTTGTGGGTTTTATATCACGTTTTATTTCTACAATCTCGATCATCTCCTTTGGTCTTGTATAATGCGACTCATGTACTATTTCTCCAAGTATCTGGCATTTTTTCATTATACATCCATTCATTACAGCCTATAAAAGTCCACTGCTGAACATAGGCCTCCCTCATAGATTTCCTCATGGGAGAATTTTGCCATAGTTGCCACGCTCGGTACGCGGATTGGAACTGCAGTTTTTTTATCTTACTCAAATATCGTTAATTCTTAATTTATAAATTTAAAAACAGGATATTTGTATATTAAAATTTGTTCACGCTTCTTGAATTGAGTTTCCCGCTATTAATACAACCATTTTTGTGAAATATAAGTGTTCAATATTTTTTGAATGTTTAAAATTTTTAAAATAGGGAAGCATTCTACAATGAGAATGCTTCCCTATTTTAAATGTAAGAATATTATATTTACAGTTTTTTTTTCCATTAGTTAACTGGCACCCTCCGTTTTTAGAATTTCCGTGGTACGTGTCGTCACCATAGTGTCGCGCAATAAGTACTGAATGATTTGCTTTCGGTTATTTTCCTATCACAAGTAGTAGTCATTATTATTACAGCTTTTGTGAATCATTAATTTGAGGAATTGTGTGTGACTACATCTTGTTTAAATTACAAAAAAGCGAAATATCTTCTTGGAATTCAAGGTAGATTACTTCCATAATATTAGAGCCATATTACATCATTATTATGGATGCAACGCGAATGTGTCGACACGATAGGAGAAGGACCATGCTTTCACGGATAGCAGCGTAAAACAGCAGTACCTACTCTGCTTTTCTAGTCCGTGCCCATCTGTTAAAGTACTCGTTATATCCGTAAATTATCAGGGCATTATTCCTTGTGATATTGACTAAATGGCGATACTGCATAAATAAAGGATCATTATACATTATAGTTGCACGAATAGATACAAATGTAATATAAAATAACCCTACATTATCTTACACGTTCAATTGATTAGCGCTTAATAGGTAATAAATCGGGGCTATAACAGAAGCAAATTATGAAGATTTATTACGTTCGTACAAGTGTAACGCTGAATACTACTTCGCCACAATAATTATTGTGTAATATATACAAGATATAGAAAGTGACAAAACTCTGTTTATAACTCGGTGAGTGATATTTTAATCTATCTGTCGTAACTTGGAACGCATTTTGCAGATAGATACACTCGCATGCCTATAATAAATCGAAACAAAGATAAATCTTACCGCGTTGACGTTCACACATAAAATATAATATGTTATTGTTTCACTCCTGGACACTTTGGAAATATCCTCATGACGTGCACGCGCTCGTTATCTTTTATCATCATGCATCACGCAGTGAGTAAATATGACACTATTGATAAGTAAAATGTATATGAAAAAAAATTTGTATATAAATAATAAGTATCGTAGTGCCACAAACTTATTTTTGTATTATCAAGACATTAAAAGTATAAAATAAAATTCTTAGAAATTCAACTTTTTCAAGTCAATTTAGGTCATTTTATTCACTTCTTCTTCATTCCTTATCAATTTTAGCTAAGGGACGCATAATATCGGTAACCATTTTTTTTATAAGCCTATAAATTATTAATCATAGTATAATAAAAAAAAACATGTGTGAGTGTCGTGGAACACTCGGTTGAAACGAAGTTCCTTTCGTAGTATATTATTATTGATAAACGTATTATATTATTAATAATATACAAATACAAGATAAATACAAATAAATGAATTACTAGCGTCATTTAAAATAATGAAATAATATTTATTTCATGGCAAGATAAGAAAAAGTGCGAGGAAGATGGAAGTTATTAAATCTCGTTCGCGCTGTAGAAAGAGGGTCGTGACGGAAAAATCTTACACTTTTTCTCGCCTTTATCCGTCAAATTTGTACCGTGCGATAAGGAACTTCGTTCCAATATTTTTATCTATAAATAATACGTTACTTGTTCACGACTTGCGGCGTTCAGCGGCCCCTAAACTAGGACATTATATACCGGTATTTCAGAAGCTTCTTTTCCTTCCCAATTTATTTAGTTTATCGTTATACCTACTAATTTGTGTAATCATTACGCTTCTCATAA